AATTCAGAATCCTATGCCAAAAACTCCCCTCCCTCCTTTTATTGTTCTTTTATTATTGTTGCCTCCCTGCTTTCATCCCGTTGCTTGTGCTCTGGATTTCCTACAATGGATCAGATCAGACAGCAAGTCGGGTCTCTTCCCAAACTCAATAATTCTGCACTGGCTTTGTGGTGTTCTTTAATTGAGTGCCCTACGATAAGGGAAGCGTTTGAGTCGAGATCACAGTTGGAATGTCTTCTGCCGGAGCGGCAGTTGAACTGTGAAACAACCGCTTGTGAGTGTCACATGGGGAACAGGCTCCAGTTGTTCTTCTGCCTCATTGATGTCTGACTCAGAAGGCAGCTGATAACTGTCAGACGGCCCTGGACCCCTCTCTGCCCCCGACACAGAGCCCTCCTCAGAGCCTTCCCCAGACTCCAGGACTGGCCCAGGTTCCTCCCCAACCTCCTCACTGTTCGAATCTGTTGCCACCTCAATTACAGTCAAAGCTTACATCAATCTGCTATCTCCTCCAGTATTAACAAGTCTTGGTTTTATGCAATGCGTTTTGGCAGACACGATTGTCGTATGCCACTTTTCCTGTGAATATCCTATGTTGCTCTGTTTTAACTCTCCCAATGGAATCTCCCTGAAATGGCTTTTATCTCCTGTTGCTTGGGGAAATTGCCAATATTAACCCATCAGACTTACCCTACAGCAGCATCTAGAATTGTGGTGACAGGAATTCCGAGATTCTTGAGGGCTTCTGCCATCTTCTGCCTGTGTTAAAAGTTAGGACACGCAGATTAAAACGAGTCCATTTCATAAGAAACATCGCTTGGGATCCTACGGCCTGCCTTTTATTAAACAAAGGAATTGATTAAAACAAACTTTAAATGGGAAGTCCCTTGGTTACTCCTCCTATTTTTAAAACAGCTTTTTATTCGTTTTACAAAAGGAAAGCCACTGAGCTGGGTGTCTGCTCAAAAATCAAAGGCCCTGGAGCCGCACGTGGCCTCTGCTGCAGCTCCCTGTCGCTCAAAATATGCATCACAACCGCCAATGGGTCACACCTGCCAGCGCGCAATTTATTGAGCTTTTCAACCCCCAGTACGCCAACCATGGATAATCCCAAGAAAAGTTGCCGATCCCTAGGCTACGGATTTCAAATCCAAAACAAGCCCCTTCAGACAACCTCACCAAGAGAAAGAAAGACTTTTCTACCTTTTTCTAACGAGGGGAAAATATTTTTTTTTCCTTTTACTTGCCCTGCTCGATCTGGCTGCGATTCCGTGACGTAGACGCTGAAACGTTTCTTGGCCTGTGCAGCTGCTTCCAACACTCGGAGAACCACTTTTGAGTAAGCGTGAGTCAGTATTTTCTGGAAAGACAACCCAAATGTTTCCATTTGTGGCTTACGCTATCAGCCCCCAGCCCCTTTTCTGTTGGGGGTCAAGGAATCAGGAAGAGCTCTTCTCATGCAATGGAACAAGTGGGAGAAATATAGGAAAAGAATGAAAATATTACATCCCCCCAGCACCGGCTGGCTAAATGACGTATTTATTCCAGATTATTTTTATAGCTGCCTTCAAAACAAAAGTCCCATCACAGTCTTGGTAAACAAATAGGTTCCATCACAAAACCGCGGTCGACTAAAGCACGCTCGGCGAAACCGCGTACCTGATATCACAGCGCGACGAAAAAAGCACGCTGTGAGCGGTAAAGCTAAAATTAACGCGTAAACCTAAACCTAACCCCCCCAAACCTAACCCTAAACCTAACACTAACCCTTAACCTAACCCTTAACCTAACGCTAACCCTAACGCTAACCCTTAACCTAACCCTAACCCTTAACCTAACACTAAACCTAACGCTAACCCTTAACCTAACCCTAACCCTAACGCTTAACGTAACCCTAAACCTAACCCTTAACCTAACCCTAACCCTAACCCTAACCCTAACCCTAACGCTTAACGTAACCCTAAACCTAACCCTTAACCTAACCCTAACCCTAACCCTTACCTTTACGTGAATCG